GCAGGCGGCGATGGGGAGAGGCTAGAGGCTGATCAGACCTCTATAGCCAGCTCTAAGGTACACGCGCTGGGTCCAATAGGCTCCGCAGCGCACCTAGAGTTCTCCTCAAGATGTTTACGGATTCCCCCCTTGCAGGGTTCTCCTCCGGAGTTCTCCAACTTGGGCGGAAACCGCTCAAGCCTCTTATACGGCTAGCAGGCCAATCACTAGCCGCCACGTGGGAATAATTTAGAACTGGCCAATAGTGGGGAACAAATTTGAATACAAATGGTGGGAACTCCTTGCACCGTGCATTTCTCTTTTGCAACCTAGAAATGCACCCTGCAAAGAAAGCTACGAGTGGCGGGAAATAATTTAGCAGTGCCGAAGCACACGCAAACAAAAATCACACCCTTGGGTTGTGACACAAAGATGGAGTATGACTTTGAATGCTAAAAAATCTATCTGTGTGCAATACTTTCCCTCCTCCTTCATAGTTGACCTTCATAGAATATGTTTTAAATCAGAACTTCAACTAAGTTCGGTGATTCTCAGGGTGAAGTTACATGTTACACTTAGGCCATACTAAGGGTGCTTAAAATGTGAGCATTCAGATGTTAAAACTAATTAACTTGTGCTAAATACCCTGTGCTAAATACCCTCTGAGAATGTCAAAGTTAGGCCACTTCAGGCAAGGGTTAACTAGGCCCAGCTCATGTTAGGGTAACTTCACTTTTTTCTACAGGGATAAATTAGCAATGTGCAGTCCCCCAGCATCCCAGGATACAATGTTGTCATCTCCCTCCCCAAACTGGAGTCCAGGTATCCTGGCTCTTAGCCACCCTCTAGTGGCAAGTCTGAGCTGTGCAGGTGAGAAATGGTATGAACCCTTAATGTGTGATGCCCACATCACATTCTAACTTTGAAGCTGTTTAACATTCCAGAGATTCAGTGTGATCTAAGTCTAACATGTAACTGTACCCTCAGCCTCTTTTTCACCCATCTCCCAAAAAACAACCCTGTCAGGCTTCTACAGATACAAATGCAAGAAACAGTGTCCCTATACCACATTTTGTTTAACAGAATAGTGGAAACTAATCTAAATATGATTTTAGGGGTGTGTAGGAAGCAATTGGTAAGTGGAAATGATTTTTTTTCTCCTCTCCAAATTGCAGTGATCAGACTTTGGGTAGTCATGACAGTCTTCGCAAGGCAGCCACTTCCATTCAGCTTCATCTACAGAAAGGCACCAGCTTCCAGCACAGTTTGGCTCGAACGGTTTGTCCTTTTGTTTCTTTCAGTATTCCTGAAGCAATGAAATTCCCTTGATCCCTTTAATTAACAATCTGCAATAATAATCAGAGAGAGGTGGCTGCTTTCCTGAGCATGCATACATTATTGCTGAAGTATAATTGAAATGTATTGGGAATATTTTTGTTTCTCTCTGCTATTCTGTCCTTTCGGTTATTATGGAGAATACTTCAACATAAGAAGACCAAATGTTACTTTTTTAAAAGGAATTCAATTTGATCAGAGTCTAACAATACTTGTGATATCAGCCTTTTTCTAGATGGTCTTTGTAGATTTTGGAATTGAGTAATTGTAAAAATATTTAAAGTATTGTACAAGGTAAATCAGATCCCGATCCTAGTCTTTATTACTGAAATCCTGAGTATTTGGATAAAAGAGAAAGATCATGCTTGCATATGCATGTGTCTAAGCATGCACATATTTCTTTTAAACATGTTGTCTTATCACAGTTCAACTCGAGAGATCCTTGTACAGATGATTTGTGATTAAGATACCCTGGAATGGATTATTGAGCTTTAATTACACTGATCTATGCTGCTACATATAATCTTTATTCCCAGTGGCAACCTTGAATTACTTCTAACCCAAACTTCATAGTGCAGAGGAAACTTTGATGTTCAAGGCAGTTTTCACTGGTGATGTGTTGACTTTATCCACAGACAGTGCCAATTATCTGCTTTAAGCAGATATACTATCAACTTGAGTCTATCAAAATATAGATCAGATAACAGATTACTAATATAAAATAACAGTTTCTTTTTTTTTCTATTGCTGATATATGTCACCATAACAAATATCAGATTCTGTGCAGTATCTCTACTATACCATTAAAAAATAGAATAATGAGTCTAAAGAGGATATTGGTTTTAAAATAGCATTTTTGAGCCCTTTGATTCTTTAAACAGATAGAAAGCAGAGTGAATATATGGAAATATACAGTAGTGGCTCATGTTGTGTGTGCTCTTCTTTACAAGGACTTGTATTTAGGTTCATCCGCCCTCCCTTCCCTCTGCAAGCAATTGGCAAATACAGCATATGAGATTCCATTGGTAGCAGGAAGGTTTTTAGATTCAGGGAATGGGAAGTATGAAACACAGAGGCATTTGTCACTAGGCCACCATTTCTTCAAATGATTGGTGACCCCAGTTCATCTGGTTGTCTGGCAGATGATCTGTAGAAAATGTAATAATAGCCACTCTTGTGCTGTGCAGTGAGCAGGAATTACTGAGATAATATAGGAATTTCTGGGTGAATTCTGTCACCTGCGTCAGCCTATATGATCATAATGCTCCCTTCTAACCTTCTAATTTTTGTGTGAAAAAGTTTAACCTTCAGAGGTGGTCTCAAACATTGAGTGGACAGTATCTTTTTCCAGGTGGCCAGTAGCATAATTGAGGGGTGGTGACCAAGACAACAACCTAAGGTGTCACCTTTGGATGGATGTGGGGGGAAGCCAGCTGTTTCTGCAGTGGAAGCTGATCACATTGCTGTAGTTGGCACAGCCTGAGCAGGTATTATGCTGGGTTCTGTGCGGCTGCCCTGGACATGGATCTATGCTGCTACACCCCTGCAGGCCACAGTCCAGACTTCAATACTCAGTGGGTGCGTCTGCATGAGATGTTTACTGTAGAGTAGACTAATTAGCTCTGCAGCAAACATCTTGGTGTTTATACATGCAAGGCTATTATGCTGAAGTAAACTAAAAAACTTTGCAGCAGGGTAGTACTTATAAAAAATCTAATACCCTACTGAGGAGTTTTTTTACTTTGCAGCAGTGTATGTGTAAACGCTGACAGCTGACTGGGGCATGAGGGTACTTCAGGGTAGGTGCTGCCTCCTGGCTAGCCCCAAACTAAAGGACCCTTCTGCCCCATCCAGTCTCTCTGCAGCATGTTGAGCTGGGTCAGAGCAGCCCCGCCCGGGCTCACAGGCTGACTCCCAGGGCCCTCTGCCAACTGGCACTACTCTGACCCAGTTCAACAGGCTACAGTCCTAGGCACACATGAAATTGTGGCACCTGGGAGCAATAAACTCCAGTGCAATAAACACTGGAGTAATATGAATGTCTAGACGCACTCAATTTCCAGAAGTCTGTTCTGCCCTCACAGTTGATAGTCTTTAGAGGAATTAAATGGAAAGCCGAAGTCCAAGGGTTGCTTGTCACAGATTGTCAAGAGAATCTATCAAACAACCTAACACATTAATTTTTTTTCCAAGAAGCATTTTCTTCTATAACTTCACATGTTATTTAAAAAGAAAACCAAACCCTTCAGATTCTGTACCAATGTCAGCTGATGCCTTCTGGAATAAAAATTCATAACTATCCTTCAAGGCAATTATGAAACTTAAATTTTTAAGTTCTCTGAGATCTGCAACCGAAGGGGCTTATAAACATGCATATCATTAACATGATATTATTATTAACATTATCATAACATGAGCCGGCAGTGTGACAAAGCCATCAGAAAAGCCAATGGCACTTTATCATGTATCAGCAGATGCATGACGAATAGATCCAAGGAGGTGATACTTCTCCTCTATCGGGCGCTGGTCAGACCGCAGTTGGAGTACTGCATGCGATTCTGGGCACCGCACTTCAAGAGGGATGCGGATAACCTGGAGAGGGTCCAGAGAAGGGCCACTCGTATGGTTAAGGGCTTGCAGACCAAGCCCTACGAGGAGAGACTAGAGAACCTGGACCTTTTCAGCCTCCACAAGAGAAGGTTGAGAGGCGACCTTGTGGCTGCCTATAAGTTCATCACGGGGGCACAGAAGGGAATTGGTGAG